TTTTAGGCAAAATCGATAAATATGAGTTGTTTTTAACCTTTTATGGTATTTCTGCAGGCCATCCCGATACAACTCATTTATAAAGAGCAATATTTGATAGGATTTCAACCGACCACTCAGGCAAACCTTAAATATTTATCATGAGCGAAGAAAAAGTTGTAACCGATATTATTACGTTGACCCGACATGTTCTTGATGAACAACGTAGACATAAGGATGCCACTGGCGATTTAACTTTGTTATTAAATGCCATTCAACTTGGCTGCAAATTCGTAGCGACCAATGTTCGAAAGGCGAGGTTATTAAACCTGTAAGAATTTATTTTAAACGGCGAACTTTCAGGACTCATTTACTAAAAATAAAAATCATATTGTCGTATCAAGTCTTGGTATTATCTGGAGCTTATAAATTTTATTTTTTATCAGAGTTGGTCTTGCTGGCGGCGCATACAATATTTCGGGTGATGAACAAAAAAAACTTGATGTTATCTCAAACGAAATTTTTATCAACGCACTTCGCTCTTCTGGAAAAGTGGCCGTGATGGTTTCCGAAGAAAATGATGAAGCAATCATTGTTGAAGAAGGATTGAAAGGGAAATATTGTGTAGTGTTTGATCCGTTGGACGGTTCTTCTAATATTGATGCAGGTGTCAATATTGGTACAATCTTTGGCGTCTATCGTGTGGTGAGTTTCTGCTTTTAAATAGCCTGTATTTTGATGTTGCAATTTATACATCGAATAATCTTGATAATTATAAAAAAGGCTGAAGGGTCACCTGGGACAGTCAAGGATGTTCTTCGTCCTGGCAATGAAATGGTTGTTGCCGGTTATTGTATGTATGGTAGTTCGGCAAATATGGTTATTTCTGTCGGAAATGGAGTGAATGGTTATACCCTTGACGATGTAAGCTTTAATGTGATATTTATGAATTTTGATAGATTCTTATTCTGGTTTGTTTTGTAGTCTATTGGTGAATTTATCCTTACTCATCCCAATGTAAGTGAGAATATTAAATGAATACTTCATATTTTTATATAATAGCTTAATTTTATATATTTTATATCAAATTTTTTATAGATCAGAATCCCATCCCGTGGCAAGATATACTCAGTGAATGAGGGTAATGCAAAGTACTGGCATGAAGCTTGCGAAGAATATTTCCATTCGCTTAAATTTCCACCAGAAGGTAAAAACCCATATTCGGCCCGTTATATCGGATCTATGGTAGCAGATGTTCATCGTACATTTTTGTACGGTGGAATCTTTGCGTACCCTGCCGATAAGAAATCCAAAAGTGGGAAGCTTCGTTTGTTATACGAATGCTTTCCTATGGCCTTCCTAGCAGAACAAGCGGGTGGTAAAGCTATTACTGGCCATGAAAGAGTACTCGATGTTTGTCCAGATGGTATTCATTCTAGATGTCCAATTTTCTTAGGCAGCAAAGATGATGTAGAAGATGTTGAAAGGATTTATAAAAAGTATTCGAAATAACGTGTTAATGCAATTTAATTTAGTATAATAGATTTGTTTTCCGTTTTAACAGTTTTGCGTTTATAACCAAGCACTGTAAATTATAGATCATAATAGGAAACACTACTGGATATCATACGTACACAATTGTGAATCAGATCAATTATTTAAGATGCTAATTTAATTACCAAAATTCAATATAAAGAATAATTTTTAACGAACCTTACTCTTAATTAGAAATATTGATATTCAACGAAAAATGGTTACGGATCAAAATTTCGAACCAAAAATTCCGAAACTTAATTATCGCGTCGTGTGATGTCGGTGAAATAATATTCAGAGTCCGCAGACGATTAATATCGTATTTGCGCGAATTAACGCCCACGGGCGTTATTTAGGGACACATTTTTTGAAGAGATCTAATAATTAATTTAGCCGAAGACTTTTAATAACAAAAAATTATGATTTGCATTCAGATAAATTAGTTATGGGCTCGAACTATTTGTCCCTAAATAACGCCCATGAGCATTATTTCTCGCAAATACGGTAATAATGAAAAATCATGAAGTTCAGAGATTTGGTCTAATTTGATTATTAATAAATATTAATAACGATGATGATTACTAATTATTTGCGAACTCTAAATATTATATAACCGACGTCACGCGACACGATAATTAAGTTTCAGGATTTTGGTTTTTGGGATTTTTGACCTGTAGCCACGAAAAAAGTACTATATGGGCATGGACTAGAAAAACCCGTCTTTGACATAGTGATGATACCCGGGTTGAATATTACCCGGGTTTATCTGCGGATAATCGGATATCCGGGTTGTAAACTCAGCTACCCGGGTAAACATACCCGGATAATACCCGGGTAGA